AACTAAGCAAGAGGAACCTGTTTCTTGACTTTCTCTTTCCTCCCTTCATGTTTGAACTCCTTTTGCTGAACATAAACACCTGACTTTCTTTCCTAAAATGTCAAGCGGTCCTGCTAATTCTAAGCTTGCTTACTTTGAGCCTGCAACAGGGTAAATGTCGGGTACGATCTTCAGGTATCGTTAGAAACTTTTAGCATGAAGAGGTTACCCTGATATCTGCCAGACATTTTTTTTGGTCAAGGGAGAAAAATGGGCAACGAGAAACACACGTTGGGGCTCCAGCTGTCCTTTCCATGCTGACAGCATGCAAAGGGACAGAGTTTTGGATGTGATTGCCAAAACATAGAGGATACTGACGTTTTTCTTTTTTTTTTTTAAGATTTTATTTATTTTTTTATTTGAGAGAGCAACAATGAGAGACGGAGAGAGAGCACATGAGAGAGGGGAGGGTCAGAGGGAGAAGCAGGCTCCCCGCGGGGCAGGGAGCCCGACGCGGGACTCGATCCTAGGACTCCAGGATCATGACCTGAGCCGAAGGCAGTCGCTTAACCAACTGAGCCATCCAAATAAAAAGTTTAAGCTTTTTGGAGGAAAATGTTAAAAGCTGGCATAACTGTATTAAGACAATGAAATGATGAAGTGTACCTCTAAGTTTATAGAAATATACTGCCATCTACAGCATATTAAAAAAATCATTGCAGGGGCGCTGGCTGGCTCTGTTGATAAAGCATGCAACTCTTGATCTTGGGGTTGTGTTGGAGCCCCACATTGGGCATAGAGCCTACTTAAAAAAAATAAAAACTGTAAAAATCATTGCAGACGTTTTGTTCCTCCTACTGGAATTACAACCAAGCAATCAAGCACCTTGAAATTTATAAGCTCTGGTAACTGCCACAAAGAACTTCTCATTTAGGCTGTTTTGTAGCCTTTGATTTCCTCATCTGAAATTTCTTCATGTCTTAAATTTTCCATTTTTTTCTTTCTAAACTTCAATTTTCCCAACCTTTCCATTGGATTAATTTCAGCAGTTACACTTTTGATGTCATAAAGCTCTTAATTTTTGAATATTTCTTTTTATATATTCCTTTCCATGTAGACAATATTTTCTCATCTGGGGATATCAATTACATTTTCTTTATTTCTCTACTTCCTGCATTATTTCTGTTTTCTTTGAGTTCCCCCTCTCCCCCACCTGTTTGCTCATCAGGATCTCTGTCACTAAAGAGGCTTTCCTCAAATGCTTACTGCTCCTGAGCTGTTCGCCCCCCTGAACGGTAAGGTGCCACACTCTGACTGGGGCTCGGTGGGGTGGGAGGGGTTTGCCCATTGGCAGGCTCCCCTGGGCCAGGACCAAGTTGTTCCCCTGGAGACCTCCAGCTATCAGTCTCTATAGGTCTCTTCTCTTGGGCCAGGTTTTCCTCAGAAAGGAACCCTCTAATCCCCTGCTTGGAGGATATAACTTGGCTGCTCGTGTTCTGGGAATTAAATAGGACGCCAAGATCACTGTTCAGTGTGCAGACTTTCACTTAATCCTCTGCTTTCAACCTAACACTCCACCTTCAGCTCCGCCTGGTATTCCTGAATCCAGAGATCCTGATAAGGCCGCTCCAGATGACCCACCGGTGTTCTGCAGGGGAGGGGGTGAAGTGGTAACGCGCTCTAGAAGAGGGGAACTAGGAGGGTCTCGCTGCTTCTTAGCAGACTTTCATCGGCTCCACCTGACCTGCCCGTAGAGATACCCATTGTCTCTCATGCAGGAGCCTCTCAGGCTCACATCAGCTTGCTTCTGGCTGCCTCCCATACCACCTGTGTGCACATAGCTTTCATTCTTCTCTGGTTTATTAAGTTACTTGCTAATTGCCCATTTGCTTTTTAGCTTCTATAATTATTTTGTCATCTGCCTGTCATCTCTGCTTTGTTTTGGGTTTTTGGCGTTTTTTGGTCTTGAAACCTCTGTGGTGTCTCTGTAAACAGGGATGTGGTTAGTTGACTGCCTTCAGCTGTTAGCAGCCTTAAGCTGTGCCTCAGCTTCTGAGCAAGTCTGGAACTAAGGGCTGAGCTATGTCCACCATCATGAGACTTGGGACTCCTGCCAGACAGTCTTCGCTCCATTGCTCCACGGCAGATCAACCAGCCACATTTCTCCATTTAATCCACAGGCGTACCATGTAGGCTTCCGCAAGTACTCTGAAATCCAGATACACCAGAACTGTAGTAGTCCTCTGGGCTATCAAGTTCCCTTCCAAGGAAAAGGAGTAGGTCTAAGGAATATCACTTCTACGTGCACACAACTAGAATCATGTCAGGAACATCATACTCAAGTGGTTTCCAGAATCCACCTTTTTCCCACTTCAAATACTCAGTTCATTTGATCATTTTCTTCTTTAGAATGCCTCAAAAATTGTAATTTGCAGTTTCATAACATAACAGCAATTAGATTTGGGACTTTGGACCCGGAGATCAAACATTTATAGTTCTCCCTTACCACAGCCTCAGGATTTAACTCCTTTTTTTCCAGGCTTTTCTACCTTGTTCTGTTTAAGTATTGTGCTTCTTATAGTGTTAACTACCATTGTGCATGAAATTGGACAACTCTATGGTCTTACTGTCAACTTTACACCACCAGACAGTAGGCACATTCCTACTGTTCTTGCTCTGAAGTTTTTAAAAGCCTCTTTATTGTGGATTAGACTTGACACTACTTAAAACTCCAGGACATTGTCCTTGTTTGCTCTCTGCCCTTCCTTCTTGTGAAAATAGCTAGAAAGCATGAAACCTAAATGAAAACAAAAATGGAATGATAGTGTATCAGGACTATTTTTGGTGCAAATAACAGAAAAACTACAGCTAGTATAAATTTTACAGTGGAATTATAGAATTGGATATATCTTATACAAAGAACCCAAGGGTAAAAACACAGCTTTAGAAAGGATCGGAATGGAAACTAGAAAATCTCTAGGAACCCACGGGGTTTCCTCTCCATCTCAGTTCTGCTTAATGCATAGGTTCTACTTTTCTTGCTCAACAGAAGGGTTAACTGCTAGTTGGCCCACAGGGAAAGCAGAAATTGTCCTCATGTTCCAACCCTACAGAAAAACTCCATCTCAATTCTAAAATTCCCAGGGAAGGAGTGAGGAAACTCCTGATTGGCCCAGCTTGGCTTAGGAGACTCTCAGCTGAATCAACAGACACCAGTAGAAAAAAATCTTACTGTATAAAGTGGCTATCAGGATCCCATGGCTGCAGTGAGGATGGTAGGTAAGAAAGTGAGCATCAGCTTTTTAAAACACACCTCCAAAGATGTTTACTACAGGAGCTTTTTTAATAGGCTGAAGGCCTAGAGGACAGAAAAAATAACAGCCATTCTCATTTTTCTAAAATAAACTTATGCTCAATTGCTATGTTGTTGTTACTCTGAATTGGAATAAGTATATTCCTGTATATAAGACCTACCTTGCAGGTGATTCTCTGAGAGGAGCAGAGATAATGTATCTAGAGTATCCAGCACTGTACTTGGCATACAGTAGCATAGTAAACACTCAGCAAATGGTAGCTATGATTTTAAATGCTAAACAAATTCATGCAATGTCAACAGTTTTTCTTAAAAGACTGCTGGAGAGATTTATTGTTTCCTATAAAGCTGTTCAGCACTTCAACTGGAGTCATAGTCCAGTGAGTTTTTTTTTTTTTAAGGCTTTATTTATGTGAGATAGCAAGAGAGAGAGAGCACTAGCAGGAGGAAGAGGGAGAAGCAGGCTCCCCGCTGAACAGGGAGCCTGATGTGGGGCTCAATCCCAGGACCCTGGGATCATGACCTGAGCCGAAGGCAGATGCCCAACCGACTGAGCCACCCAGGCGCCCCAATAGCCCAATGAGTTTAATTCAAAAGAAAAACTCAGAACATAAAATACCCAATTCCATAGGATTCAAAGATATAAATCTAACTTAAACACTATCAGTTAGCTTTATCATTCCCTGCAAATGGCATGAAATAAAATATATAAGCATGTGAAACAATTAACTTTAATTATAAAAATAGACTTTAAATTATATACACATTTAAATACACACATGCAGACTGCATGATACATTTACTTATTACATATGAATTTTGCTTTTCAACTACAAAGTTATGTATACAGGATAAAGAGCAGTTAAGAATTCCTAAAAAGCCCTCATTGTATTTCTTTGATCCTAAGTCTCTTACTTGTTTCCCTCCCACAATTAGACTGGGTCTTATAATCCACACGCACACTTATTACAGCATTTTTCCCCTAAAAAGAAACTCTCGAAAGCTGTTAGTAAACCAATAGTATATCTTAAAAGTATTATCTTAGATTCAAGAACATACCATATTTAATAAAAAAATTTTAATCTACTTTTTGTAGTTTATTACAGCAATACTTTATTCCATACATATAATTCCCTAGTCTTCCTACATTCCTATTGATCTTGAAATGCAAACTAGGTCACATTATTGAATGTGGTCCTCTCTTTTCTATTTTTTTGTCAGAAAGCCACCAACATTGGTAATGCATTTTTTTTATCTGCCTCAGAACAGGATGTTTTGAATTATGCCAGCCTCCCAGGTCTCGATCTGTACAACTAAGATACATGCAGGTGAAAAGTAAAAGATTAACTCAATTAGGTGTCTTCCTACCACATAACCATTTCAAATAATTTTCTTAGGAGCCAAGTGAATTACATACTTGTGTTGCTATGAGAAAGCGTCCCAATTGGTCTTTCCTTTAATAAGCAACCTCCTTTTCTATATAGCTGTGAAACTGCCTGTGCAATAGCAACAAAGCACAAATAAGTGGATGACTCAACATGATAATGTAGGTAGAAAATGCAGAAACATCTCTTTCAAATGAATATATACTCAAGTTGTGTATTTAAAGAACCGTATTGGGAAAAAAAAAAAAAGAACTGTATTGAGAGGTCACTTCTGCCCTACTACTGTATTCCAAGCACCCATCACAGGGCCTGGTACACAGGTGTTTAGTACTGAATGCACAGATGAATAAATGGTATGAGTAAAAAATTAGCATATTTAACCCCAAGCTGGCTTAAAGGCTAACATTCTCCATTTCACCTTTGGGGACAATTTTACTAAAAAATACTAAAAGAAAATGACAGAAGAATGTACAAATTCTTATAGGAATGATAATTTTGCATATCAAAAGATTATCACATATTAAAAATTAAATACACAGATAATTCTGAAATTGTCATTTCCGGTTTGGGGTTAATACTAAGTAAGCCCTTAGACAGAAAATACTGGTCCACACACAGAGCACCAATGCTTCTTTCTCAGTTGAGGTACTTTATATACAGCAATAGGTATACAAAAGCTTTTGAGCCATTCCAATATTCCCACTGCTCTGATAAATGAGAGACAAGTTGTAGGCAATATCTCTTCGCAAGTCTAACTGGTCAACTTCTATACCCTAGGAGGAAAAATACATGAATGAGTTTTATATTTCAAACTGACAACCAGGACAATTTTATGGCAAATAATAGTTTCATAAGTATAAATATTCAATTATTAAATTTCATGATACTAAAAAAAAGTATAAAACTAGGTATATACCTTGGATCTAAATTTTATTAGGTAATGCTGATTTAGTTAATCACTGTAATAACTATATCATTAAATAATTTAAAATGTGTAACCAATAAGTTAAAGAAGTCTCACCCAGAAGCAATAGCAGAATAAACTCCAGATGAAGAATTTAAGATTAAGAAAATGAAACCATAAAAGAAAAAAATCATAGTTGAATAATATAATCTTGGGTAGGAAAGGCCCTTCCAAGTATAATAGCAAAAGTAGAAACTATAAAGGAAAAGGTCAATAGATACGATTTCATTAGAAAACGTAAAACTTATGCATCTAAAAAAGAAATAAATTATACCACAAATGACCAGATGGGAAAAAAATACCTATACTATATAGCAGAAAGGCATAAGAAGACATACACCAATTTAATAACAATATTACCCCAGGGGTGTTATTACACCTTTTTCCTACTTAAATAGCAAAGTAATCAACTCAATAGAGTAGGTTAGATCTATGTTTCTAAATCTTCCCCAGTAAAAAATTTTGGAGTCAACTATAAAAATATCTGCAACAATGAAAAATGATACCTATAAAGCTTAAGGAGCAATACCTAAAGGTATTTTTTTTTTAAAGATTTTATTTATTTGACAGAGAGAGACATAGCGAGAGAGGGAACACAAGCAGGGGAGTGGGAGAGGGAGAAGCAGGCTTCCCGCCGAGCAGGTAGCCCCATGTGGGGCTCAATCCCAGGACCCTGGGACCATGACCCAAGCCGAAGGCAGACGCTTAACGACTGAGCCACCCAGGCGCCCCAATACCTAAAGGTATTTATGAAATAAAGAATGCAAAAGTGTATATATTTCATCAGCCTAACTGTAAAAGTATGCATTCGTTTAATGACTAACATTGAACAAGAGTAATACAAAACAGTTGTGAGGGCATGTAAGAATTATGAGTGCAACTTAAAAAAATTAACAATGAAAACAATATTTTTCTCCAGAAATTAAAATAAGAATGAGACTTTATTTTTTTATTTATTATATTATGTTAGTCACCATACAGTGCTCCTTGCAATACATGCCCTCCTTAATAGCCATCACCGGGCTAGCCCATCCCCCCGCCCCCTTCCCCTCTGAAACACTCTGTTTCCTGGAGTCCATAGTCTCGCATGGTTCAACTCCCCCTCTGATTTCCCCTTCATTTTTCCCTTCCTTTTCCTAATTGCCGGGAATGGCCAGCATCCCCACGGCATTCCAGCGGCAGAGTGGTCATGCAGGCCTCAGCATTCCAAAGGCCTACGCCCTTCTCCAAAACCTTCCCTCGCCTCCAGCAGGCTCTGTTACATTTTAGCAAGCCAGGTATTATGGCTGATTTCATGCTTTACATTAACCCCAACACCTAATGTCCTCCATGCTATTCCTTATATTCCACATATAAGTGAAACCATGATAATTCTCTTTCTCTGACTGACTTATTTCACTTAGCATAATCCCCTCCAGTTCCATCCATGTTGATGCAAATGGTGGGTATTTATCCTTTCTGATGGCTGAGTAATATTCCATTGTATAAATGGACCACAACTTCTTTATCCATTCCTCTGTTGAAGGGCATCTCGGCTCCTTCCAGTTTGGCTATTGTGGACATTGCTGCTATGAACATTGGGGTGCATGTGCCCCTTCTTTTCACTACATCTGTATCTTTGGGATAAATACCCAGTAGTGCAATTGCTGGGTCATAGGGTAGCTCTATTTTTAACTTTTTGAGGAATCTCCATACTATTTTCCAAAGTGGCTGTACCAACTTACATTCCCACCAACAGTGTAAGAGGATTCCCCTTTCTCCACATCGTCTCCGACATTTGTTGTTTCCTACCTTGTTAATTTTTGCCATTCTAACTGGTGTAAGGTGGTATCTCAATGTGGTTTTGATTTGAATTTCCCTGATGGTTAATGATGTTGAACATTTTTTCATGTGTCTGTTAGCCAAGAATGAGACTTTAAACACAGATTATCATAGTACTAGCAACACTTTACCCTGTATTACATTATCTTAAACAAAACTATATTTATACTGGTCTTTCATCTTTTTAAAGAAATACGTTCATTACACTTGAACTTGAAAATGAACAATGGCTATATTACTCAATACTCAGGCTTTGTGTCTACCAGCTCATCCCTGTAAACCAGGGGGGCTACCTTAAGGTAACTGAAATGGTCATAACCATAAGTTGTGTATGCCCACACGGTTGCTGATCAGGTCATAAGGCCAGAATGACAAAGATCTACTTGTCGCTGAACACAATTACATAAATACATTCAACAAAGAAAAAATACATTCTAATACATAATTTATTTCACTGTCTGGGCTATGACATGAGCTAAATGCACTTATCTATAGATGAAGTGACTCATCAGTTTTTAAAGTAAATCATACAGGGACGCCTGGGTGGCTCAGTTGGTTAAGCACCGACTCTTGATTTTGGCTCAGGTCATGATCTCAGGGTCATGAGATCAAGCTTCACATCAGACTCCGTGCTCAGCATGAAGTCTGCTTGTGATTCTCTCCCTCCCTCTCCCTTTGTCCCTATCCCTGCTCGCGAGCTCTCTCTAATAAATAAGTAAAATCTTTTTTTAAAAAAAGCAAAAGTAAATCATACAATACCTCTACCACAAGTGGAGGGAGTTCCAGGGCCTTCTGATAATAGTGGATTGCAAGATGAATCAGCCCCAGCTGGTGAAGGCCACGGCCCAAATTGTAGAATGACTCCTGGCAAGGTCCACGTATACTGAGGTATCGATTAAGAAAGGAAAATCCCTACCAAAAAGATAAACAATTCAGTATTATAATCATTTGACAAGTATGTATTTGAACCAATATATGTGCCAGGTATATCCTGTACAGAATACAATTTAAAAAAAAGACAGTCCCATCCTAAAAGAACACATGTCTGTAGTGTAGTGCCATATCACAGTGTAGTCAAGAGCTCTTCTGAAGATATAAAAGATTTTTTTTAAGCTAAGGACAAAAATATTCACAGAAAACAAAGCCAAATATTACAACTGTCAAAGATCCATAATCTATAAGGACACAGGATTTTTTTTTTTTTGAAGGTTCCAAGTTGGCTTTTGTGATGTTAGAGGCCAATAAACTTTTTGATTCAAGATGTCTAAAACCTTGAGCAAAATATAAAATCTGAGCCCTTACAATAATTTTAGAAAGGTTTCTTCTCAGGGAGAAGATGCTTTCTGGGTAAATGGTTACCTCTCAGTACCTTAATACCTTCTTAACCCAAAAAACTTTTTTTTTTTCCCGAAAGCTTCTGACTCAAAGACTTTATGGAAAAACTGGTTATTTCAGAGCACAGCTATAATAATGCAGGCTCCATCTGTGTCACGGTGTCCAAAAGCAACTTGCTTCTTTACCTCCTCCTGTATTAATTTCCCCCTTCAATGTAGCTTCAAGTTACCAGCCACAGAAAGTGGCTGAATACATTTCTGACACTGCAGAAATGCAAGTGTCCTATGTTAAGTAATTAAATAAATATATTATCTGTGAATAGAGAATATAAAATGCAACTATTCCCTGGGTAATCTGCTTTCTAATAAATGGTCACAAATTTTTCTTCATAAGTAAATAAATAATAAAAATTAATGAATTCTTTAGAATTAAAGCATTTTAGGGATAAAAATAATTATGTTCACTAAACAAATCATACTTTCTGCATAATAAAAGAACCTACATAGGAACATGACCTCTATGCCACTGAAAATTATGGTTCTCTGTTAAATAAAGCAGACAAACTATTAGTCTCAGAGAAATACCAAATTTTAAAATGACAAAGTGCAAAAATCTGAGGAAGAATAGTAAGTAAACCCAGATGAACTACTGCAACCCAAAGAAACTTGCAAGTCACTTTATCTCTTAGGTACTACGAATCATCAAATATAAAAACTACAAAAATACCACAAAAAATTTTTAATGAAATAGAAACAAGAGAGTTCTTTTTACATTAAGTATGTTACATTTCAAACATTTTTATCACATTATTCACTAAAGGGCCCAAGTATACACTGTCTATAAAATACTAAATACAGATAGAAGAAATCATAAAGGATTTTACTTTCATGGTATAATATAAAGGTAGGAAAGACAATAAAACATATGAAATTAGTTTGCTTTTAAGTACTCCAAAGGGAAACAAACTGGTCATGTAGTATGAAGAAACAGATTCATGAGAAATCAAAACAATTTAAGAATCATGGTATTTACAATAAAACTTGTTTTTAGAAACTTTAATGGAAAATGTTTAACACACACAAGCGTACAGAGATTAGGACAACAAACTTCCATATACCCATCTCCTGCTGTTTGATCTCTATCTCAACCAATTAAAATCTGCTGTTTAACTATAAAAGTGATTTGAAATTTAGCTTCTAAATTACTTTGAAGTATATAAATTTTTTCCTTACCAGGCCAAAAAACTACGTATTTTAACTATTTAATAATGAGTCAGTCCATAAAAATTTCCTGTCAGTATTTACCAGATGTAAGTTTCATGAAGGCAAGGAATTCTGCCTGTATACTCCCTGCTATATGCCCAGTTCCCAGCATAGTGCGTGTTCATTACATATTTGTTTAATTTATAATAAGCAATCCTATATTACTTAATATAGCAAAAGTATCCATTAAGAGAGAAAAAAAAGCACAGAGCAAGAAGTAGATAAATTTCACAAATAAATACCCAAGAAAAGGAAAATTTCTGGGTTTTTTTTTACTTTTTATTATGAAAAATTTCAAATATACAAAAGTAAAGAGAACATTATAATGAACCCCAATACCCAGCTTTAACAATTATCATTTGAATTTAGGCTTTCTTTTAACCATTTTACTTTAAAAAACAAAACAAAAAATCTTTTACTCAATCCTCCTACTCCATTCAAGCCAACATTTTCTTTTCTTCCGTAACTACTTAAAAAAACATGTCTTTAAAATGCATCAAATCAAACATATGAACATAAAAACAACACAAAAGTTTTAAAGATACAGTGGTGAACAAAAGAGACTCCCTGATCTCTTGGAATTTATATTCTTTTTTTTTTTTTTGAGAGAGAGAGAACGTGCACTTCATCATGCGGGTGGGGCCGGAAAGGGCAGAGGGAGAGAGAGAATCCTAAGCAGGCTCTAGTCCACTTGTCCAAGATCATGACCTGAGCTGAAGTCAAGAGTCAGATGCTAAACTAACTGAGCCACACAGGAATCCCCGGAGTTTATATTCTTATTAGAGAACACAAGCTATATAAAAAAGTAAACAAGAAAATAAAAATGCTAATTTCAAATTGCTGTAAGAACTAAGAAAGCTTTGGGGCGCCTGGGTGGCTCAGTCATTAAGCATCTGCCTTTGGCTCGGGTCATAGTCCCAGGGTCCTGGGATCAAGCCCCACATCTGGCTCCCTGCTCAGTGGGGAGCCTGCTTCTCCCTCTCCCACTCCCCCTACTTGTGCTCTCTCTCGCTGTGTCTCTCTCTGTCAAATAAATAAATAAAATCTTAAAAAAAAAAGAACCAAGAAAGCTTTAAAAGAGCAATTTGTTGGTGATGATATAAGGAAACAGTCACATAGTCACATATTCATACATTATTGTATGTATATATTATATATATATTTTTAATGGATTTACAATAAATCAATCTTCAGGACCTAGAAGGCTGGAGGCCTCAAGGGCTCTAGAGTATAAGGATGCCTCCAGATTCTGCTGTGTCTTCTTTCTGTATGATCTGGCTGTGTCCCCTTTCTACATGGCTGCACAAGCCTTAGCCAGGAACACCACTAGATGTTGAGTCCCTGAGTGCTGAACACAGGATAGGTGCTGGGAACTCTCACCATGTATACTAAGCAGGTATTACTTTTGAAGCAGGACAATAAAAGCATTAAGTATATTCATTTTAAAAGAACATAAAACTAAGTAATGAGAAATCCAAATGAATTACCTGCACAGTAAGAGCATGTCTCCTTAATACATACTTCTGAGATGCCATGTGAATAAACGTTAGGCCTATACAGAGGCTATAGAGAGGTTCATGGGGATGGGTGCGAAAGGCTTGCACATATTGTCCTGAAAAAAGAACAGTGATGTCAGATGGTGTGACATAAGCATGGTTCCTTATTTCTTCAAATATATTTTATGGCTAAGCAGTACTGATTTTTAACATATGCAAGGTGTGCTTTCTAAAATATCAACCAGATACACATTAATTTGAATTTTAAATCAATGTATAAAATATAGCAAAATTAGGAGGATTTACCTATAAATGTATCCTGACTACAAAGATTAAATATGAGCTACTAAAAGTAACTTTCTTTAGGCACGGCTAGACACTTCTATGTAGAATAATATTTCTAAAATAAACAATTTATCAATTGTGATCATATATCTATTTTATGATCTTAAATCTTAAGAAACAAGGGAATGTGTCTTTTGGCAAATTCTTTTGTAAAATTAATTGATCTGTCTTATAAATTCAAATACGATGGATCATGGAGGTGAGAAAAAGAAAAATAGTTTTGTTTTTTAGATTATGGGTGTTGTTTCCCAAATGTAGCACTATTTTGTTTTTCCTGAGAAAAAGATGTTTTCCTTGTTTCCGTGTATTCTATATATGCAATTATTTCATGTCAAACAAAAGCTTAACCATATGAGATAGGGGAATTTAAAAAAATTTTTAAGTAAATTTTTCTTATAAAGGGATGATCTATAATTTATCATATATAGATAAAAGCTTCCATTCTTTCCAGCTTCTATGCCAGAAGAAACCGCACCACAGAATCTCTTTAGCAGCACAGATGGTAGACTGCCATTTGGACTTTCTATTTTTACCTCTATAAAGGGTCCTAAATTTAAGACAATATAAATCTCTATTTTATATTTCTTAACATTAAACAATTCCAAAAAGCACACACAGTGGAGGACAGTTTCAACATCTGATGTTCAAGGTTACTGGCTGAACAATTATAAAAATACCAGTCATACATGAAGAAACACTGAAAGTATTTAAATAGCCAACATCCCAGTTTATCCAGAAGTAAACCTGGCAACACTAGCTTTTAGGCACCAAGAAACGCGTGCTCATTTTAAGTTTAAACATTTGGCCAGATATTTTTCTACGTGTTTGCTTCTGATTCATTATACAGAAAATTTCAAGTGATTAATTAATTTTCCCTGAGTTTAATTAGAATTAGCAAGCACCATGTAAATCAATCTTGACATAAAGACCTGTCTCCTAGAGGAACAAACTATCAGCAAATCTTAAATCCTTTTTTTGTACAACAAATTAAAATCAGGTGGCAAAGCATCCACAATTAATGAAAATTATTTCAAAAGCAAGCCAGGGCGCCTGGGCACCTCGGTTGGTTAAGCTTCTGGTTCTTGATTTTGGCTCAGGTCATGATCTCAGGGCTGTGAGATAGAGCCCTGTGTTGGGCTCCATGCTGGGTGTGGAGCCTGCTTAAGATTCTCTCTTGCTTTCTCTCTGCCCCTCCCCCGGCTCATGCATGCTCCCTCTCTCAAAGAGACTCGGGGGCCATGGCTCAGTCAGTTAAGCATCTGCCTTCGACCCTGATCGAGCCCCGCATAGGGTTCCCTGCTCAGCGAGGAGCCTGTCTCTCCCTCTCCCCCTGCCGGCTGCTCCCCCTGCTTGTGTGCTCTCTCTAATAAATAAAAATCTTCAAAATTAAAAAAAAAATCAAGCCTAAGCAGGGAGAATTGTGGACTTTTAAAATGAATTATGACTTACTCCAGCCTTTTGAAACCAAAGCTTCATAAGGAAAATAAATATTAATTATCATTGTTGCTAATAGCTACTTATTATATGTGCCAAACATTTAAAAAAATACTTTATATTAACTCATTTAATTTTCACAATAATTTATAAGGTAGGTCCAATTATTACCTCCATTTCAGAGATAAAGAAACTGAGGCAGGGAGAGGTAGAATACCTTGTCATGAGGAAGCCACTATTTAAACACAGGTAGTTCCGCTCCAGAGGCCTAGCTATTAACCACGACTCCATCCACACCTGACAAAGTCATGTCCAGGACACTTACCAAGTGCATGCTTAAAACTACCAGATACAAATGCATTGTGTCCATTTAAGACACACAGGGCATGATTATCTGGGTTTTTCAGCATTAGGCGAAGACAGAAGCGATGATGTCGTACTTCTTGGGAGTGCATGGTAACCTGATTGAAAATGTTCCAGAGCTGAGGTTTATTGACATTTTCCATTACCATTACCCTAAAATTGCAGAAAGAGGGTGAGGATAAAAAATCATGTAAAAAGAAAAACTTCTGATTTCTAAGAATGAAATCCTTCAGTGCAGCAACATCTTCCAAGGAAAAGCAGATTGTCCCAGGGTATCTAAGCAGAAACATTTACACAAAGATTTTTCCCAGAAAATGCTGCTTAAGTTAGTATTTCTATATCTTGCTTGTTCTTCTCAACAAAACTTTTAAACAACAACAACAAAAAATCAAATAGTTTAAATTTCACCGTTTCTCCCCGACCCTACAGCTGCAGTACAATGAACAGTGAATAATAGCTAATAATAATGTGTGCCAGACATTGTTAAAAGGCCTTATATGTAATAATTCACTTAACTCTCACAATAATCCTACCCGGTGGTAGTATGATGATATCCATTTTATAAATGGGGAGATTAAGGCACAAAAGGTTGAATATATGAGAGGGGATGCCACTGAGAATCACCAATGAACTGAATTAACGAGTAAGCAACAAGAGAGTTAAAACAAAAACTTATTAATTCTTGAGCATAAGAGACTAAGTCAAAGTGAATACACATACTCTTTCAAAGACTCTAAAATAAGCTATTAGAAAATTACCTGATATAGTTGTATGCCTTTCTGAAATTTTTGTCCAGTATTGCAGCAGAAAGACCAAAGTATTCTAGTTCTTTCCGTTTTTGCTTGTCATCATAAAATGAATAATATTCCAATGAAGAATCCACAAGTAACTCAGCCTCCTGAAATCGGGATAGGTCACACAAGCAGTATATGGCCTTCAACAGAAGGTTCCACCAGTCATCTTTTGTCAAGACACTCGTGAGTACAGCAAATATTGCTAAAATGATGCCAGTGACAATCAGTTAGGACACTATATTTTCAGAAATAGCAGTATTAGAAAAATTCATATGATCAATTTTAAGGTTAAATTTAATAATCACAATCCTATGGGCCTGAATTCTTGCCAACACTCTTCTGACAATATGACAAGTGGATAGTTGCTTGTTTACACTACTTCAACACCACCCTTTCTGCTCTGCCTAACAATCTGCAATCCCAGGTAATTCTTACTTTGGATTTGTCCTCTACAAAGTCCAGCTACCTCATTTGTATCTCTCAGTGCTAGCTAGGATATATGGTCGTCCTCTAGGGCAGAACAAGTGTGTGTTCCAGAACTGAGGTCAGATACAGGATTCTACCCATACAAAGCATTCAAATGTTTAACAAAGGACTTGAAATTCATACTTTGAGATTCAGATTGTTCTTGATCTTTTTATAATCTTAATTTTCTTTTCTCTGCCTCAATATTTCCTTCCTTAAAAATCTTGCCTTATTTGTCTGTAAGAAGCCCCCTTTTTATAAATTTATAATTCTTGAGAAATATCGAAAGCCACAAAAATTTTTTAGTCTTTGACCCAGAATTCTGAGACTCTATCCCACACAAGTAGTCAAAAATATGGATATAGGGGCGCCTGGGTGGCTCAGTCAGTTAGGCGTCTGCCTTCGGCTCAGGTCATGATCCCAGTGTCCTAGAATCGGGCCCCGCGTCGGGCTCCTTACTCAGCGGGGAGCCTGCTTCTCCCTTTCCCTCTGCCTGCCTACCTGTCTGCCTACTTGTGATCTCTTGCTCTCTGTCAAATAAATAAACAAAATCTTAAAAAATATATATATATGGATATATAGGCATGAAGATGCTCACTACAGTATTATCTATAAGAGAAAATTATCAGAAGCAACCATATATCAAAAAATAAGGGAATAAAGTATGGAACTGCTATCCAATGGAATATTACACATTCCTTAATGATAACAGCTATGAAGCGAAGAGAGCAACATGAGAAAACATCTGTGAGAAAATGCTGAGTGAAAAAATCAGAGTATAAAGATGCATGTAACATAAAGAGGCCCTATATTCTATCCTGGTACACACCAGTGTAATGTGATCCCCACCATGGGGAAATGAACTAACAAAAACCTTATGAGCCTAAGAAAAACCAACAATGGACCTGAAATGAGAAAATACTGAAAGAAAAAACCAGGTAGGGTCATATATACAGAAAAATATAACTTAAGGAAATACAGTCCTAAACACATGAAGCAGAGTCTACCTTTGGATGGGCCCAGAATCCATGGACTGTTGAAATGGCAGGGCTCTGAGGCATTTATGGCTAGATTATGAGCAGCTGACCCTCATTCCTCTCCTGACTCTCCTCCCCTGCAAAACCTTGCTTAATGTTAGGTCCTTAAAATGTGCTTATAGAGATTCAGCTCTTCTGAATTCTAAAAACTTATGCCAGGCACACTGCCATGCCTGTAACAATTATTTAATAAATGTCTACTGAATTAGTTAACAATGAAATAATTTTCTGCCAGACTGATACCTCCAGTTTAGACTCTTTTCAAGTTTTCTGAGTAATAATGTCACCCAAACTTACTTGATGCATTACCAGCTAAAAATAGACGCCTTTTAAAATCATATTACCTGAGACTGGGTCAAAGCAATTTAGTTGCAGAGTTTCTATGACTATTGCTACATTTGTCAAAAATGAATTTAACAGAGAATGAAACATGTAATTGAAGTCACTGGACAAATATAGTAATTTATATTGCCATCTAATCTTCACAAATTTCTTAAAATAAGGTATATTTTCTTTTTAAAAAAAATCAAAAGTTCTGTTTAGTTTTTTTACAGAAAGATCCAAGCAGTTGTCTTCCTTTTAATTTTTAAAAGTTAATTTACATAACCTTTTCTTTTTTAACATCAAATGAGTTTATTATACTTAAGGGATCTGGATTAGAAAATTTCATTTTATTTGAAAAGGGTATATTTTCAATTAGGTTACTATCAGCTAATACTTCATGAATATTTTTTTCAACTCAGCCAAATTTTATGTAATAAAGCAAATGAAAGAATTACCTTTTGCATCACAATTTGCTGTCTCTTGGTCACTATTGTCTGATATTTTGTCTCTTGACACTTTAATAAGGTAGAGATGCCTCTCTCCAGATTTGGAACTAGATATCAAACAAACTTGGGCTCTATTCATTGCTACCTGAATTAAAGATAAAAATTTGAGATTTTTTAGTCATATAATTTCTTTTTAATATTTTATTTCTAAGTAATCTCTACACCCAACGCAGGGCTCAAACTCACAACCCCAAGATCAAGAGTTGCAAGCTCTACCAACTAAGCCAGCCAGGCGCTCCAGTCATATAACTTTTTAAAGAAAATCTATGGGGGTGGGGGCAGTGTGACTGGGTGGCTCAGCAGGTTAAGCCTCTGACTTCTGCTCAGGTCATGATCTCAGAGTCCTGTTCACACACTCACTCTCTCTGAAACAAATAAAATATTAAAAAAAAAAGAAAAAGAAAATCTCTGGGACGGAAGTATTGCAGGTGTGCCTGAACTCTCAGTAGGAAAAAAAAAAAAGGCCAAAGCATTGTGTATTTAAACACCTAAAAGAGAATGAATAGACTGATTTTTTTCTTACCAGAGGAATTTAGATCACACCTTAGTAAGGAAAAAGAAGTTACATAAATTAACTTACACACACACACAAACTACTTACAGTCTAGTGCAAAAACGCGAGACTCAGAAATGATGTCACATGTGGAAAACATTTTTGCAAAACGAACAATTTTGGCATGTGGTAGTGTCCAGAAGGCCAATACTTGATTATGCTATGGTTCTCGCTTTTCTAGATATGTACTCGCAAAGATTTTGTTGAACTTACTCTACAGTCAAGTTTACACTTTCATGTAGAACTTTAAATTACAGTCGACCCTTGAACAACATAGGTTTGAACTGCAGATTCACTGATACATGAGTTTTTTATAGTACAGTACTATAAATGTATTTTCTCTTCCTTCTAATTTTCTTAACATTTTTTTCTCTTCAGCAAGGAGAATACAGTATATAATACATACAACATACAAAATACATGTTAATCAACTGTTCATGTTATCAGTAAGACTTCCATTCAACAGTAGGCTATCAGTAGTTAAGTTTTTAGGAAGTCAGAAGTTATACATGGATTTCCAACTGCGTTAGGGTTGGTGCCCCTAATTACCACGTTGTTCAAAGGTCAACTGTACATACCATTAACTTCTAAGTCTTCTGTCTGTATCTGACTTTCATTTTTACAACTTTAATAGCTATAATCTATGTTTAAATCAAATTCTAAACATTTAAGAAGTCAACAATGCTAATATACAGAAAGACCATTACCCACCTTTAAAAGCATGGCTAACATGGTAAGTAAGGTGTCCACATAACCACACATTTTGCCTTGAGAAAACAGCAGAGTAGAACGATGAAGCAGTAACTTCAGTTCCTAAATAAATGAGCGCATGATAATGAATGTGACAAGATTCCTTTCTGCAAGTTGTTTTGTTTGCACAGAAAAGTTTTATTTTAGAAATGAAACCTTAACATTTGCTTTATGGAATTTCACAACTTAAGATCCAATATTTTAGATACTGTAATTTATAATGTCTAACAAGAGGCTGAAACTTAAGATTCAAAATCACTTTTCAAAAATGCTTAATTTAATACACTAAAATAAACTTTTTGGATATATGCTGTAGACATCCTTAATGGAGGAAAATGTTCAAAAATATAATCTACCAAGAAAAACTTCCAGTTATGTGACAGAGTCTACCTGCTGTGCAGCATTTGCATCTTGTGCTAAAGTATCTGGATCATACATTGGTTCCAGAGCTTCCAGAGCTTTCTCAGGACGGCCCAGCTGCTGCTGAAGGGTGGAAAGTGAAATTCTTGCATCCAAATGAAGAGGGGCCAGATCAACCACTTTGCCATAGCTTTCCGCAGCACGTTCCATATAGCCTAAGGCCTTTAAACATTCTAAGATGATGTTAAAATAAAGCATAAATATGATCTACAGATTTGTAAGCTTGCCAAGATTATTTTTCCATTTTAAAGAAACATTACAGCAATATAAAAAGAATTATAACAAAAATGAAATGCGTATTTCTAGTACTTTAAAACAACTAACCCTTCTAGTCTCCATCTATTGCCTGATCAATCTATCGATTTCTCTAACTAAATCCAAATAGCTACAAGGATATAAACAACATATACATACACTTTGGGGTTCTGCTTTATTCACTTAGCATTAAGCTTTCAACAATTCCCATGTCTTCCTTACATTTTGAATGGTTATAACATTCAACTGATTATTTATTTCACCATACTATGACTGATATGTAGGTTATTTCCAAATTTTTACTCTAATAAATAACACGGTAGTAAACATTTTCATGTATATAAGCCATAGTTTAAAAACTGGCAAACCAATTTAGCCCACAGACGTGTTTTTTAAGCCACAGTGCTGTTAAAAACAATACGTGGTCTACGTTTTTTAAAATTAGGATTTTTATGAACTCCCAAGTTACTGGATTCTTTTGAAAAATGTGGATTTGAGAAACAGCAGCAGCATCCTTTAGAGAGGATTTTCCAGGTTTTCCCCCTACCCTTGAACTTCTTCACTTGCCCAATTCACTCATTTTGCTACTTGCCAGGCTCCTACGTTTTGTGATCCCCAATATGAACTACCTCCCCTCATCTCACTCAATTATTTCCTCAGGATAAGTTCTCAGAAGGGGGATTATTGGGCTCTATTGCTCAAATTTTATGTCAATTAATCATTAAGTCCCATCAGTTGAACTCTCCACTGTAATAGTGACAACACTAATCTAGGATTTTTTCATCTCATTCTTTTTTCACTGCAATTCCCTCCTAAAATGGTACTTTTGCTTCCAATTGCTTTCTTAAATCTCAAATTTCTCAACTCTCTGCTGAGTATCATCTTTAGGTTAAACTTTGATAACAGGCAATAAAAACTCCAACTCCCTGCTTATGTCTTTAAAATTCAAATACCATAAATAATGTAAGTTTTTATGATGGTATCACATTTGTATTCATGTTCAGTCATCCAAACAGTAAAGAGTTATCATTAAATGTTTTTTTTGCAATTTCGTATCTGTGATATGTCGCAAAATAACCCAAATTGTCAATCAATGCTTCTCTAGTTATAGAGTACTTTCAACCATTATGTAATATTTCAAGAACTATTAGAACTATTCTGCCATCATGCAGTATTTTAGACAAAGACTATTCAAATTTTAATGCATCTTTTATGTGGATTCAATACGAAATCCTACTAGAATATTTTTTGGCTTTCACACATTTAAGAAACTTAGCTGTTTTTCTTAAGCTATTTTTCTACTGTATTTCTGATTATTATAAATTTAGATACAATAAAATGAAATGATACACAAAACCCAATCTTGAGCATATCTGCAGCTCAAAGAACACCAAAAATACATTAACTTTTTTTCTCAAAATAACATATTTAATATAAATTCATTAAAACTCTTTAAAATTAGACTGTACCCCAAGTCTGACAATCTATTACTAGAAATCAGAGCCTATGGTTAAGACAGGTAAAAGACATATAAAAGGTATTTTTAACAAGGACATGTTAGTCTTACTTCATTCTGGTACCATTAAATGAATCATTCTTCCAAAGCATTAGTGTGGGGGAAATCATGTAGTGGCATACCAAAACAATTTAAAATACTGACATCCGTGGGATTATTGAATCACTATGTTGTACATCTGAAACTAATGTAACTTGTCAACTATACTCAAAAAACAAGCAAACAAAAAAACCTGATTTTCAAAAACTGCCCTGAAACCAGAAACTTTCACTTTCACCAAGACATTAATATTTTAAAATAATTATTACCATCTTCAAAGTAAGTTCTTGCCTGCTTATATGATTAAAACTTCTCCCTCCCACAAAAAATTATTACCTGCATGCCGAAGCCAAACTACTGCAAGGTTGTATCTTTCAGAGCAGACTAGTGCACTAAGGAGAGGAAGTGCAGAATTATATTCACCAACATCCAGAAAAGCTTCAGCAACATCTAGATAGAGGTCTCCCATATCTTCAGGATTCTGTTCCACTAGTGTTGTCAAAAGAGGCTAGACCCCAAAAATAAAAGGCTGAAGTCACATGTTCATTACAAATATGCATATCTATGTATATTTCTCTTTTTACATATCTATCAGTTATCTGAGGCAAGCCTAAAAGGAGCAAGGTTTAATGAAAACAGCTTTAAATAATCATTTTTCTATTCATTTCTGTATCTCTATTAAAAAGAACTCATACTGCCATCATTCACTCATTTAACATATTACTTTTGAAGCCCGTTATAAGCAGACATGGTAGGAGCTAAGATAACACTGACCTGCTGTGCTCTTCCTCTGCCAAGTCAAACATACCCAAGCTTCAGGGCCTCTGCGTTTGCTGATATTTCTGTCATTAATTCAAATGTCACCTTTTCAGAGAGGCCTTTCCTGACCACCCTATTTAAAATTGCAACCCCTGGGGCGCCTGGGTGGCTCAGTCGTTAAGCGTCTGCCTTCGGCTCAGGTCATGATCCCAGGGTCATGGGATCGAGCCCCACATCAGGCTCCCTGCTCGGCGGGAAGCCTGCTTCTCCCTCTCCCACTCCCCCTGCTTGTGTTTCCTCTCTCACTGTGTCTCTGTCAAATAAATAAATAAAATCTTAAAAAAATAAATAAATAAAATAAAACTGCAACTCCTCCTACCCCCAATATTCTCTCTCTTCTGTTTGATTTTTTTCCAGAGTATTTATCTCCAACTAACATCCTATATTTTACATACTTATTTTATTATCTATTTCATCCCATTAGAACAAAAGATCTATGACAGCAGGGATTTGTATATTGTATTCAATACCTTATCCTAAGGTCTGCAAAGTAAATGCCCAATAAATTTTTTTATTCAATGAAATAACTTAGTCCAAAGCTGGCAAAAGAGAAGAGCTATCAGAATTTACCAAATGTCTAAAAAGCCCAATCTCAAATTCTGATCTCTGGGTTGTTCTCATTTAAAAAGAAAACCAAATTATTGCAAGCCCTGTTCAGCTTTTATAAAATATTCACACACAAATAATTTGTGCTTATGGTGACTTCCTGGTTATTGAAAAATGTGAAATTTAGGGAAAACTTACAATTTCCTGTCAAAGAAAATAATGTGGATTTGATCTGAAGTATCTGAAGTGCAGATCTTAATGTTACTTACATTAAGTGGTTCGAGGATGTTGAGATGTACAAGGCAGACCATCAATTTCACTGTGATATCTATTGGCACACCATCAGGTATGGTGCAGGTAACATTCTCACCAGCTTTGGATTAGATGGACAGACAAAAAACAGTTCCTATATACAAGCTTAGAAAGTAGAACAAATGAAGCAAACTACATCTTGTACGTAAGATCTCATTTACTTCATTCAGGGTAAATGATTCCATAGCCAATTCTAATTTGACCAACTCTATTACTAGGTCTTTATACTTCCATCAGTCTGTCCTTTGGTAGAATTATCCTTCCTATTCTTTTCCTAATAGTTTATCCACTTATCTGAAACCTACATAAACTCCCACACCTTCTATCAAAACTACAGAGAAAAACCAAAAAGAAAAAAGCAAAGAAAGACAAAAATGACCAATAAGTATATATGAACTCTTTTTCTTTTTAAATTCAAAAGCTTCTTTTCAGGCTTTTACGACAAAGAGGCTAAGAAAGGGATAAAATAAATACTATGTTGTTTTCTAAAACTTCATTATACTAAAACAACTTTTAAAGCCCTGAGAAATTAGTCAAAGGAATTTTTATCCACATTTAAAATATTTTGTATTTTGGAAAGTCTAGTAAATTCCAAATAAGTTTCCATTTCAGAAAAAAACTGCAGCATAGAGAAACATCAGAGATTTATTTATCCTAAGTGGTGGAATAAAAACTAAAATTATATTAAAATGAAATAACTTCATGTTTTATAGAATTTGTCATATAAATTATAAAACTCCCTAAAATTATGAAGTCATAGAAGAATTTGGACAAGTTTAATTAAGAGACTATTTTTCTTATTAAGCTCCAATACAGTAACTGATACAGAAAGCCAACTTAAGAAATTTAGTCTGCTCAATGAAAGTCCTAACATTTAAATTTACTTACACTAGACCATAAGCTCCATGAAGATAAAAACTAGTCTACCTGACTCACAACTATATCCATAACACAATTCTTCTGTAGACAGTGGCTATGGCATACATATTAAAGATACAGTATGTACAGATATATAAAGCAAAAATTTAATTTCAGAAATACAAAGTAAAACTTAATTTTATGTTGAAAGTAAGACATATGCCTAAAATCATGTAACCCAGGAAGGTTGAAAATAAAAGGACAAATATCTTTTAGTAGGCAAATGCAAACAAAAAGAAAGTAGGGGTCACACTCTCACCAGACAAGGTAGAATTCCTATCAACTCTATTTTAATAAAGAGGTAAGAAGGACATTTTATAATGCTACAGGACAGTGCTACTCAAAGGGAAGTCTGGGACCTGTAGCGGTCCACAAGCTGTCACTAGTTCAATCAGATAAGTACAAGAGATTAAGAGTAAGTATTTAGACACTTTTGTAGGAATTTGACAATTCTAGAGAAGACAGTAGATATTATAGCCCCTACAGCTTAAATAATAGTTTATTAACTAATATTTAACAGCAGTATATTTTACACCTCATTTTATTGTGAAGCTCAACAGAAATGCTTAATCTACCAATAAATGTTCTCATTTTCAAAAATGCATACACGGGCGCCTGGGTGGCTCAGTCGGTTAAGCGGCTGCCTTCAGCTCAGGTCATGATCCCAGGGTCCTGGGATCGAGCCCCACGTCAGGCTCCCTGCTCAGCGGAGAGCATGCTTCTTCCTCTCCCTCTCCCTGCTGTTCTGCCTACTTGTGCTCTCTCTCCCTCTCTGTCAAATAAATAAATAAAATCTTTAAAAAAAAATAAAATGCATACAAAAAACAACCATCTTTGCTCACCCTGGAAGTGTTTTAATGTCCTAGTCTTCTGGACATATCTTTTCTTTAAAGTTATTTCATCAACTCTAAGATGCCAGATTTCAGATGCACTATTATTTTATATACTAAGAAAAACACCACTACTTAAACTGTGACATATCATTGATTTATGTTAAGATGTTTCCTGAATTCAGATATGCTAAATCATTAAGAAAGTAAAGAAAGAAGGAAGGAGGGGTGGATCAATGAAACAGAGCAAAATATATTAAACAACAAAATGATTAATATATCTATAATTAAAACCTGAACAGAAATCTATTTTTCCTTAATATTTTCAAAACAATGGACAGCAATAATTTTCAACAGGAATGTAACTTTTGGGATGAAAGATCTTAAACAGAAAATATGGCTGAAAAACAATTTGAGACTTGGCTCTAGGTTAGACCGGGTCCAAGGAAACTATCAAAATTGGCAGTTTTTCAGATGCCCTAATTCGTGCTTTCATGGCATTACAATTCCTACTCCGTTGTACTGGAGTTGTACTCCAATCTACTCATTCATACCACCCCTAATACTCAAGACTCAACCAAATCACCCTATCTAATCCTATCCATACCAAGTAGTACTCTCATACCCTGTAACCTCTCAGTCTGAAATGCACTCCCCCCCCGGGTGTTTACTTAAATTATGCTTCTAGAAACATCCTCTGATCTTAGTATTTTGCTCTTCTCTATTTTCCCATAATGTCAGGTTTATTACAGAAATTATCACACTATTCCTCCTATAATTAAATTGTATATACTTCATTTGAACCCCACTTCCCCTCCTTGAGGGCAGGAAATGTCATAATCATCTGTAGATTCCCCAAACACCCAGCATAAGACCTCATAAGAAACTCTTTTCAGACTGGGCTTTTCATTCCCCAACAACTTTCCTCTTCACTATTTATCTGTCCCGTATCTCATCTTGGGCCTTGTACTCTATGAATTAGCACACAAATTGATTTGTAAAAATGAATTACTACTTTACCATTAGGATGGATCGTTTAAATAAAAGGCTTTTTGATTTTGCATAATTATGCCTTAACCCAAGGGATTATATGATGATGGAATTTTTAGGCACCATGACAGGCCAGGGAGGGAGCTATTCTGAAGCAGGCAGTACTCAAGTACCAAGTGCCTCACCCTTCCCCACCACCACCAAAAGCCTCATGGGGGAGAAATGGAAGGTATTACATAGGAATTTTCTTACACATCTACTCTGCCGATAGAGTTCAATTTTGTTACAACCTCAGGGTCTTGCATGCTAATATTTTCACAGAACAGTTAATGGGTGTGATACAAAGAAAAGAGCAAGGATGAGGAAGAGAACTGAAAGAGACACTGCAAGCCACACTTCAGGTATGACTCTCTAACTAGACTCCTAACTACATACTTTAGTTTTCAAACAAAGGACAGCAATCCTATTAGTTTCTACTTTTTATGTGAATGCTTAAGTTTGAAGTAGAAATTTTCCAATGAGAGTATTTTGTCCTTTTGAAAATTAAATTGCTTTAGATCTAAAGGTTTTTGATATACTGTTCAGTAATCCATTCTTTTTTCACATGTCACTAAAAAGACCCCAGGCAATGAGAAATGCCGTGTTCAAATGGATGTACTGAGAAATGAAAAGATTTTTTTAAGATTTCTTGTGAGTAAATATTCACAAGAAAAAGATACAAAATCTCTATGAGGAAAGAAATGCTTCTGGGAAAACTTGTTATGAGAACATTAACTATCAATTTCAAAATGCCACATTATAAACAAGAAAGGATTATGTACACTATCCTATGAAGAAAAAACCATAACCTTTATTCTCTTCTGAAGTTCCTTCTTCTGCATTTTTTTCCAGCACAATTCCAGAAAAATCTGTAATTACCTAAAAGAATGGAGAAAAAAAAGAAATGATACAACAGATATATATGAAAAACCTCTTCACAACGCAAAGATTTGTATAGTTAATTCAAATAATCCTTATATAAATGGACTATAAAAAGCAGGTAGGACCCTCCAACCTACTCAAGGATCTCACTCAAGCAATCGTCCCTTCTCTCATGAATCTTCAATGTGTTCCTCAATTGTGGATTATACCATCTGAATTCAAATAAACTGTAATTTTTCCCAACTTAAAAATTATCTCTTACCCCTACAACCCATACCAATTATCTCCCCATTCCTCTGCTCCCCTTAGAGCTGCCTATCCCCAAGGAACTCCCACCCCATCTCCAATATCAATACTCAGTCCTCATTTTACGTGAGCTACCTGGACTATTTCACATAGATGATCATCCCTCCTCCTTGAAGTGCTTTCTTCAATATTTCTAGAAACTCATGCTCTCTTCATGCTTAACTAAAGATATAGAATTCCTCCATATCAAACCAAACTACTTTTCCCAACAGCTTAGGAACTGAATCATAGCCATCAGTCTGGCTGCTGAGTCCTGCTACCCTGAAGTACAGACATATCTGGCAACTGTGATAATGGTGAGAGCTTTCATCATATAACTATATATTTCATCTGGAATTACTATGGAATCTAGAAATCTGTTTCCATACAGACTTTAAATATATAATTTAGTATGTAAGTAGCTTAATATTTATAACTAAAGTGAGGAATTGTCAATTTATATAAATTTCTAAAATGCAGAAATGTGTCCAAAATCTTACAGAGAAACATATTACATTTTCCTACCTCCAAAGCTTTGTCGTAATGTTTGTTAGAAATGTATAGTTCAGCTGCTATGTTAACATCTTCCATGGAGACAAGGCCCTGATGTTTTGAGAAAGCTTCTTCAATTATATTAATAGCTGAAGTAACATCATTGGCTTCATAGTAACTTCTAAAAAAAATAAATGACAAAATGGATGAATATTTATTTAACTCAGATTATAAAACTCATATCCTTGCTTAGACCATCTATTAACTATGATTTTCATTTTCTTAAAATTGGGGAGGAGAAAAACTTTTCTTTAAAATCATAATCACAGCTGATGCAGAAAAAAATGGGCAACATCAGTATGACAGTGTCATCATGCCAAGCATCTCGCTCTCCAAAAGCTACCTCATGTCATTCCACTTCATTCCCCATCATCTAATTCCAACAACTCTTCCACCTCAGTGGGATCTACAAAGGATTCATCTACCTGTTTCATGTCCTGCTGCTTCCTGCCCTCACTTTCCTCTTTCTCCACAGACCAACATTATAATTACTCCTTCGCACATCTCCTCACTTCTCCTGCCCCTCTCTCCTTTCTGATAAAGTCATGTGATAAAACCCCAACCCCTGTTAATCCAAATATGCCTGCTCTTCACCACCACCTGTCCATGCTGACTGGGCTCACTCTAAATTGACAATCATAAGCCTCAAGTGGGCCCATGGTGCTGATCAGCAATCTTGCTACAGTTACCTTGTCCAGTACTTTTCAAACTTGAATATGCATGCAAAGTAACTGGGGATCTTGTAAAAAGGCATATTCTGATTCAGTAGAGCTGGGGTAGAGCTGAGATTCTACATTTATGACAGGATCCCAGGTGATGCAAATGCTGCAGCAAGGCCCCAAGGACCTAGACAACTATTTCTCATCTTCTCCTTTCTCTTCAAACCTCCAAAACTCTCTGATCCTCACTCTCAGCTGATAACCTTGCTTCTTAGTTTGCAAAGAGAACCAGATCATAACATCTCACATATTCCCAACATATCTTCCTAGTTACACATACCCATGGCCATATATTCCACCTTCTCCACTTAAAAGGCCAACCCCCAACTAGATCCCAGTCCCTCCAACCTACTCAAGGATCTCACTCAAGCAATCGTCCCTTCTCTCATGAATCTTCAATGTGTTCCTCAATTGTGGATTATACCATCTGAATTCAAATAAACTGTAATTTTTCCCAACTTAAAAATTATCTCTTACCCCTACAACCCATACCAATTATCTCCCCATTCCTCTGCTCCCCTTAGAGCTGCCTATCCCCAAGGAACTCCCACCCCATCTCCAATATCAATACTCAGTCCTCATTTTACGTGAGCTACCTGGACTATTTCACATAGATGATCATCCCTCCTCCTTGAAGTGCTTTCTTCAATATTTCTAGAAAATCATGCTCTCATTTCCTCCTACTTCATTGCCCATTTCCTTTCAGTCTCCCTGCTGTTTCCTCCTCATCTTCCTGATTTCTAACACTGGAGGACCTCAGGGTTTAGTCCTCAGAACTCTTCCTGTGTCTGTCGTCTGTGTGTGTCTATCTGTCTGTCTCTCTCTCTCTCTCTCACACACACACACAAACACACACACACACCATTTCCTATCAGAAAATCCTGAGAGCTCAGCCTTCAAAATACATCCAGAATCTATTACTTCTCACCACCTCCTGCACTTTTATCCTGGACCATACTACTATTATCCCTTTCATAGACTGTTGCAATAATTTCCTAACTGGTCTTCCTGCTTCTGCCCTTACCACTCCTCAAACTATCCTCAAAATAATAGTCAAAACTGATTTAAAGTTAAAGCCAAATTATGCCACTCTTCTACTCAAAACCTTCTAATGACTTCCAAACTCATTCACAGTAAAACCTAAAGCACTTACAATGGCCTGCTAGGGCCAAGTGACCTTTTCCTGACACCTCTCTGATCTCAGCTCCTGCTATGTTCCCTTAAACCTTCAGCTTGTTCCCAGAACATACCTCTGCACTTGCCATTTTCTTTGCCTGTGATACTCTTCCCTAAATATCTGCTCCCATACCTCCTTCAGTTTACTTTCAGGTCATATGATCATAACATAGGGAACTGAGTCCTTCTCTAACCACCCTATTTAAAATAATATACCCCTATACTTCAGCTTCCCATCCCTTTTCTGCTTCATTTTTCTTCATATCCCTTATTAACATTTGACATAGTATATATTTAGTTGTTTTTGTTTATTGCTTGTCTCCCTCAACTAAAAAGTAAACTCCACAAGGGCAAGGAAAATTAAAACTCATTCAATACTGGATCTCCTGGTGTCTTATACACTGCCTAGCACATAATTTATATTTAATAAATATTTCTGGAAGAAAAATAGCATCTGAGAGAAATCCTAATAAACTGAAGTTATGGTAACATAATTCCATGTAGGAAGGATCTCTATGACAGTGACAAAACTATTCATCCTCATACTTTCCCAACAAAAATATTATAAATAATACAAGTGGAAAACAAATTTACTATCAAAGGTCAACTAATAGTTCATAAAAGAGGCTTAGTGGGCTAATCACTATGACAGCTAGAGATGTGACCAATAGCAGATAACCTGAAAAGTTCCTCAATGCTCATCATATACATCAGAGGATCAACTTAGAGCTGCCTTGCCTCAACACATTACTTAAAAATGCTTCTAGTATTCCTACATAACCCATCCTTACGATAACAGGGAGTGAGTTCAAAGCTAAGCATCTTCATGACAATGGCCACAAGGTTAACAGGGTTAACCCTAAGATACCCAGATGAAGATGGTTGATCCTGGGCTGAAATACTATATAACAGATATCCCTAGAATAGAGAGCTTATGACAAGACATTATTTAGCCAAATGTTTCTTGCTTTGCTTTGATGTACAGCATACTGGAGAAGTAAATGTAGTAGTACATAATATTTTAGAATAAAATATATATCACAGTCAGTAGCATGTGTCAACTATAAAGAACATTTTTTTGTCTTAAAATGTTATTCTAGTACTGACTAAAGATAAAATGATTATAAAAAACCCAGATCAAAAACATTTCATTAGCACATTTACAACAAACAACTTAAAATAATATAACCGCAAATGTACATAACTTCAACTAAGTCATGGAAACCTGGCAACCTAATCATCCTTTTAGAACATGCCCCACTTTTAAGTTTCTGAACACTTGAAGGCAATTGTATATACAAATTTTTCTGAGTAACCACAGAGCTGACTTGCAAACAGAAAAGTACCGAAAAAAATAAAAAACCACCTCTATATTTAAGCACAGTATAAAAATATAGGAAGTAAAACACTTCTCTGAACCTCAATAAAAAAAATATACTTTACTTCAAATATGTGTTTTGATTTGTAAAATAAGATGATTAACAGGAGCATCTATATATACTCCAAACTTACTTTGCCATATCTCTAGCCAATTGCATAAAACGTTCTCCATCAGATGGAGACAAAAGGTTTAAAATACGCCTATAACCATCCATTGCCATCTTATGATCTCCCATCTGTTCATAAAGGCTTGATCGCTCCCATAGATAACGGACATTAGTAGGTTCATATTTAAGAGCTAAAAAGAAAAAAAAAATTACAGATTTACTACAAAAAGGGGTTCATGATACCTGGTTAAGACCAATCCTCTTTTCAGAAAATTAAATAAAAAACACTAGTAATATTTGAGCAGACATTTGAATGAAGAGGAATGAAATGTGGGGAGCTTTGGAGCATGAAATTTGGGCCACGCAGAAGAAACAGACAATACAAAGACCTCAAGGAAGGGGAAGGATTTGGCACACTGAGACAATCAGGAGAGGGCATGGGTAGATGATAAAAGCACTTGGAATACCCGTGTTATTCCTGAGGGCACCCCCATTCCCCAGCCCCATTTCTCTGCTTCTCCTTTGTTTGAATGACTTCTTCAGACCAATCTGTCACCCTACCTGTCTATTTAATAAATCTCCTACATTGTCTATAAAAAACAAAACAAAACCACTCTAAACTAATTCTCCAAGAGAGCTAAGTGGGTTATTCTGGAACAAAACTACTTTCACAGGAACTCTCAACTAAGTTTAGTCTAAGACCAGACAGAACCCGAATCTCTATATTAATCTTCATTTGGTCACTCTCATGTGATGTTAACCCTCAAGGAACAGCTTAGAACCAACAATGATCCTAGCAGAAAATTGAAGGTACTGTTCTTCTACCAACTTTTGTGCTGTATTAGCTCACAATATAAAGTGCTGATAAACATGAAAGCAGAGAGACCCCCAAATACTTAGCTCTGGGATGCCAGAATGTAAGGAATAAATATACTTCAGCTAACATCACCCCAGAGTAGTAAGTGCAATTATCAAAAAATCTACTATGTAACATTTTATCAAACAAAATAAGAAAAACATTTTAATTACCTTTTGTGTAGCAAAAAATAGCCTGCTTAATATTGTCTTGTTCCAGAGACATTTCTGCCAATCTAACCCATTCTTCGGTGTCACTAGGATTTAAATGTGCAGCAATCAACTCAAACTGAAGAGATTTTTCCATGTCACCTTGGTCCTCATATATCATAGCAAGAGTAGAAAATGGCTCATAAGCCAGAGGAGCTAAAATGAATTAAAAAAACAAATTCTATTGGCTGAAGAAAGAGGCATGAGATGACATCAATCCCATGGTTCAATGTTTAATGTTTAAACTCTTTAAAACACTCTAGCAGAATTATACAAACTACTTAATAGAATTTAGAAAAAAAATTAAATTTGCTTTACTTCATGTTCATACACAATTAGTGTTTTAGTATTATTGTCTCTGAGCCAAGTGTAATTTCATGAAAAAATTCTACTCTCCACCATGCAACCCTCATGAAAATCCCCATTTGCTAAGGTTAAACATGGCTCAATAACTCAGCAAGTTCATCCCAAAGAACATCATCACAACAGTGTTTATTTAATCTTCATGATCTAACAACCACAGGTGTATGGGATGAACGGACCAAGGATAGCTAAACTGCACCTAACTGAGGATATCAAAGTGAATAGTTAATCTACATTTCTGAAATGAAGTTCTAAGATCACAGGGGATTAAAATCAAAGATAATTGTTAAAAATAAACAATTATAAACTGGAATAAAGAACAGATAATACTGGAAAGTAGGAACCAAACAAAATATCCTTAAGGAAAAGTTTGGTTAATCTTGTTTCTGGTGGAGTAGAAAAAAAGCAGTGACCTCAAATTATCCTAATGAGTAATCTAGGAATTTTTTTTTTTTTTTTAAGTAAGCTCTACACCCAACATGGGGCTTCAATTCATGACTCCAAGATCCAGAGTTGCATGCTCTACCAACTGAGCTGGCCAAGTGCCCCAATCCAGGAAATCTTTAACAAGATTTTCAGGAGGGTTGGCTGGGAAGATGGTAGAGTAGGAGGACCCTAACCCCACCTCATCCCATGGATACAACTAGATAACATTCATTTCAGCGTAAATAACCCAGAATATGATCTGAAGACTGGCAGAACAAATGCCACAATTAGAAGTAGAGAAGGCACATCGGAGAAGGGAGGAAGGGCAAAGACACAGTCTGGGAGAGAAATGGATGGGGCTGTCCACATGGGGAGTAAGCCCGTAGTGTGGAGAAGGATGAAAAACAGACTTTCACAGTGAAGAGCCCAAACGAAAGAAGAAGACCAAACCACAGCAAGAGACCAAAGCAAAACCAATGTAATATGCCTGATAAAGAATTTAAAGTAATGATCATAAAGATACTCACTGGACTTAAGAAAAGAGTGGAGACCCTTAACACAGAGATAAAAAAGAACCAATCACAGATCAAAAATACAATAAATGAAATTACAAATACACTTGATGGTTGGGGCACCTGGGTGCTCAGTCGGTTAAGCATCAAACTCTTGACCTCAGCTCAGGTCTTGAACTCAGGGTTGTGAGTTCAAGCCCAACATTAGGCTCCATGCTGGATGTGGAGTCTACTTTAAAAAAAAAAGAAAATACACTTGATGATATAAATAGCAGGCTAGATGAAGCAGAGGAACAAATTAACAAGTTGGAATACACAGTACTAGAAAGTAACCAAGCTGAGCAAAGGAGAGGAAAGAAAATAATGCAAATTGAGAATGGTCTTAGGGAACTCAATGACTCCATCAAGCATAATAACATGCGATTTATAGGGATCTCAAAAGAAGAAGAGAGAGACAAAGGGACGGAAAAATTTATATGAAGAAATAATAGCTGAAAACTTCCCTAATCTTGGAGAGGAAACAGATGTCCAGATCCAGGAGGCACAAAGACTCCCCCAAAATGCAACCCAAAGAGGTTCACACCAAGATGCATAGTAATTAAAATGGTGAAAAGTAGTGATAAAGAAATAATTTTAAAAGTAGCAAGAGAAGGGGTGCCTGGGTGGCTTAGCTGGTTAAGCATCTGACTCTTGATTTTGGCTCAGGTCATGAGAATGAGCCCCACATCAGGCTCCATGCTCAGCAGGGAGTCTACTTGTTTCCTTTTCCTTCTGGCCCAACCCCCCCACTCCCTCTCTCTCTCTAAAATAAATAATCTAAAAAAAAAGGCAGCAAGAGTAAAGAAGACAGTTACATACATTGGAAACCCTATATGACTATCAGCAGATTTTTCAGTAGAAACTTTGCAGGCCATAAAAAAGTGTTAGGATATTTTCAAAGTGCTGAAAGGGAAAAGACTGCAACAAGAATACTCTATCCAGCAAGGCTGTCATTCAAAATAGGAGAGTTTCTCAGACAAAGAAACACTAAAGGAGTTCATCACCATTAAACCAGCCCTTACAAGAAATATTGAAGGGGACTCTTTGAGTGGAAAGGAAAGAATTTAAGTGAGAATATGAAAAGTAAAAAACGCGAAGGCAATAAAAATAAATATTTCTGTAAAAATCAGTCAAGGGAGAGTGGGCTAGCAAGATGGCGGAAGAGTAGGAGCCATAAATTTCACCCAGTCCCAGGAATTCACCTAGATAGTTATTAAACCATTGTGAACACCTATAAACTCAACAGGAGATCAAAGAAAAGAATAGCAGCAACTCTGGAAAAGTGACCACTTTCTGGAAGGTAGGACATGCGGAGAAGTGAATCCAAGGCCATATATGGGAAGACAGACTGGAGGGGGGGTGGAGGGAGCCTCCGTCAGCCAGCTACCAGCAAGTGATAGAGCAGCAGAGCACAAAATCAGAACTTTTAGAAGTCGGCTCCGGTGAGGGACGTCACTCCAGTGGCTAAGCAGGGGGTGGAACCCTCGCTGGGACAGTGTGGTCTCAGGACGCTCAGGGTCACAGAAAGACTGAGGGTGCTTGAGTGTGGCAGAACCTCCCAGGTATCAGTAGCAGGGAAGCTGGCCGCAAAGAGTGAGCTGAGGAGTGGGCTCTCAGCTTGGGGCTGCCATAAACCGTGATCACCGGCACAGTTGGGCAAGCACTCTTCGAGCAGGGGCCCAACAAGCAGCAGATCAGGGGAGATTCCCCTTCGTCCCCCAGGAGGAGCAGCACGAGTGCGCGCCTCAGGAATCTACTGGGTTTGGAGACTCCAAACGGGGTCATGGGGCAGAGACAGAAATGCTCGGGCACAGGCTGGGTGAGCTCAGAGTGAGGCCGGAGACCAGGGACACAGGAGTGATTGACTGCTTTTCTCTGAGGGCGCACTGAGGAGTGGGGCCCTGAGCTCTTGGCTCCTCGGGCGCCAGAGATTGGGAGGCCGCCATTTTCATTCTCATCCTGCAAAGCAGCGCAGAAAGCCTTCAGGGAACAAAAGCTACCAAGAGCAAACCCAAGTGGCTAACTTAGCCTGGCCCCTGGCAAGGGCGGTGCAATTCGGCTTGGGGCAAAGACATTTGAGCAACACTGTAACAGGCCCCTCGCCCAGAAGATCAGCAAGAACATCCAGCCAAGACCAAGTTTACTAACCAATGAGAACTGCAAAACTCCAGCGCTAGGGGAATACAGCACATAGAATTCATGGCCTTTTCCCCATGATTCTTTAGTCTTTCAAAAGATATTTTTTTTTAATTTTCTTTATTTTTTTCTTTTTCTATTTCTTTTTTTTTAATTTTTCTTCTTTCCTTTTTCAACCAACTTCTTATCAATTCCTTTTTTAAAAATCTTTTTTAATTTTCATTTTTACAGTCATATTCCCTCCCTTCATTGTATTTACCCTTATTTTTATACATATGTTTTTCTTTCTTTAAAATTTTGGGAGGCAGTTTCTTCTAACAGACCAAAATACACCCAAAATCTAGTGCGTGGCTCTGTTCTATTCAGCAGCCTGATCACATCCCTTTTTTTTTCTTTTCGTCCCCCCCCCGCCCGGTTTCAGGTCTCTTCTGATTTGTTTAGTGTATACTTTTCTGGGGTCGTTGTTACCCTTTTAGCATTTTCTTCTCTGGACAAAATGACAAAATGGAAAAACTCATCTCAAAAAAAAAAAAAAAGAACAATAGGCAGTACTGAATGCCAGGGACCTAATCAACATGGACGTTAGTAAGATGTTGGTCAGAACTAGATTTCAGAATGACAACTATAAAGATACTAGCTGGGCTTGAAAAACGCATAGAAGACACTAGAGAATCCCTTTCTAGAGAAATAAAATCTAACTAAGTGGAAATCAAAAAGGCTATTAATGAGGTGCAATCAAAAATGGAGGCTCTAACTGCTAGAATAAATGAGGCAGAAGAGAGAATTAGTGATATAGAAGACCGAATGATGAAGACTAAAGAAGCTGAGAAAAAGAGAGATAAACAACTACTGGATCATGAGAGGAGAATTCCAGAGATAAGTGATACCATAAAGCAAAACAATATTAGAATTGGGATTCCAGAAGAAGAATAAAGAGAGATGGGGGCAGGAGGTATATTGGAGCAAATTATAGCGGAGAACTTCCCTAATGTGGGGAAGGAAACAGGTATCAAAATCCAGGAGGTACAAAGAACCCCCCTCAAAAATCAATAAAAATAGGTTAACACTCCGACATCTAATAGTAGAAGACACAAATCTCAGAGACAGGGGCGCCTGGGTGGCTCAGTTGGTTAAGTGACTGCCTTCGGCTCAGGTCATGATCCTGGAGTCCCGGGATCGAGTCCCACATC